TTATATTTTGTTTCAAGGCATTTTATTCACAACATACAACATAAGAGAATACAATAAACATAAATATAACTAACAATGATCTAATGCAAATAGAAAACTTCACTTTGTAGAACCAAAGAAAGTTGCATAAGATCATGCTTAAAATGTCAACAACAAAACAACTAATCCTCCTCCGACTCGATCTCATCAAGCTCAACCTCCTCATCACTTGAACCAGAAACCTTCACTGAACCAGCCTCATCACCATCATCAGCCTCCTTAGCATCCTCAGGTTCACCTACATCTGCCCCCTCTCTAAATTGTGGTCTGGCCTCATGCCACATAACATGTGCTAGGAACTGCTCCCTAGACATCATAGAGTGCTCCACCGAGGGTTCTCTGTACTGCAGTTGTAGTACCTACATAGAATCACGTAATTCTATCATGGCGTGTTGAGTAGCCGCCATCCAGTCCCAGTTGTAACTGCAGACCTCCCTCTAAAATGGGTCAAAGCTCTGGGAGCCTGCAAGTCCCAAACCAGAAGCACTGTCAGTATCATTACCAAAGCTAGATGTCCTTCCTTTCCATCCCTTTGGTCTGCAAAACTTGTCCACATACCTATCATCAATCGCAACAAGAATCGTCACCTGACAACGAGATGCTATTTTAACCATCACATGCATACATAATACCATAATCAAACAAGGAAAGACTAAGGGACAATTCTTCCTTAACCCTGAACCAAGTCCGCTTTCTACAACAACACACATATCATCTGCAATGATTCTAGCTACATCAATATGCACATTAGTCAAAATATTGTGGACAAGATGAGCAATAGAAATTGACATAGTAGAGGTATGCGAATTTGGCTTAATACTAGTCAACACCAATAAAAGTATAAGTTGAGCCAAAGGATGCGTGTCCTCTCTGTGATACCTTTGAGGAACCCCATACGGGTTCAACTCAATTAACTTTCCCTCCATCAACAAATCACGAGAAATGGCATATGTGTCTCTATGAAGCCTTAAAATGTGATGATATGCATCTATTTCATTCTCCCCAAGGATAAAGGATTACCTAAAACAATGTTAATGGTGTCACAATCAAATTTTACCTCTCTTCCGCCAACCATATTAGTCCAAGTAAACGGTTCATCGTCATTTGGAAGTGCATTGGCGTAGAACTCTCTTATGAGCTATACGTTGTAACTATCACCAAGCATTATCAACTTGTCCCACTTTTTGCTTTGAAGGATTCCCGCTACCGCCCGGTAGGATCCTTGAGGGTTGAAGTTGAATCTCTTTTTAGGTAGGATGCTCCTCTTCTCTAAAATCAGATGACGAATAACTTGTTTCGCTCCTCTAAGTCTGTCAGCATCAAACTAGATTGGGGTTGGACGAGATGAACTTCCGACATTTCTTTTCTTCGACATAACTCTCTTTGGAGGTGCCATCTGTACAATCACAAAACAAAACCAACCAGCCAAACACAATTTATATTAGTGAGAAAAAAAAACAAAAACAATCAGAACAAGAATCCAACATCACAATTTTTTTAAATTCTATCATGTTCGCCCACAAGTTCGCTAGGCGAAACCAAGGCGAATACTCGCCCCAGGTTCGTTGTGCGAACTCATGGCGAACCCTGCGAATTCTCATTCTGTAGGTTATGCCTACATGTTCAAAATTACAGAGACTTTTCCAAAATTCAATTTGCTGTCATTTCAAACTATTGTACAAAACAAAAATCCAGTGGAAGCCTATACCACACGATTGCTCAAGTTAGAGTTGAAGTTTTTGTAAGAATTCATTCAATATCAGTTCAACTCTAACCTAAACACTTTCTACTTCATACTTATTGTTAAAACCCACATGCACAGTAAGATAAATCACAAAATTAGAACATGCATTGAGTCTTATATAACCTAGAAGCAAGTTTTCACAATTTCACAAACAAACCCTAACCACATGTTGCTAAGAAGAACAAAGGAGAGAATGGCGAATTCAAACCTGTTATGCTAAGAGGATTAATTTGGAAAATCTAGCAAGAAGTTTTGAAATGCTCTAAGTTTCTATGGAGTGAGTTATGTGTGTGATGCTTATGAGAGTGAGAGAGACAATTGTTTATGTGAGGAGTGAATAGAAAAGTGAAATAGGGTAGGGTTACCCTCACAAAATTCTTAGGAGTGGGTATTGGGCCCAAACTTCTATGGCCCACCCAATTCATTCACTAAAATGATGTGGCAGGCAACTGAAAGTTATTCTATTTGGTAAGTTATTCTATTTTGAAAACATTAATAATGTATTAAACATTTAATAATAAATTAGTATATTTAAAATTTTTTAAATAAAATATATATATATATATATATATATATATATATATATATATATATATATATATATATATATATATATATATATATATTATATAATTATATTATTCTAATTATAATAATATAATTAAAATAATATAATTATAATTTTTAATATTTTATTATATACATTAGCAAGGGGTTAAACCCCTCACAAATTTCAAAACTTAAGTTGATTAGCTAAGGGCTTTACCCCTAGCAAAAAGTCTGACACACAAAGCTTAGTGCTTTACCCCCTCACAAATGCATAACACATATGTTTTAGCTAGGGGTTTATCCCATATCAAATAACCTGACATGTCTGTGCCACTAGTATGTGTATACGTCTGCAGCAGAACAGACTGAATTTTTTAATGGCAATTTGCGAGGGGCTTACCCCCTAGCCAAATATGCGAGGGGTTTATTTCATAGCCATAAATTTGTGATGCCCTAATTAGATAGGAGTCATATCTCCTCATAAATTTATGTTTTGTGATTGTTCTTTTTTTGTTTTTTTTTGCTTTAGTGAGGGTTTAAACCCTTAGCTAATTATAGTTTTTCTTGTAGTGTTGATTGCAAGTTATTTGATGAAGAAAAAATACATGTCAAAAAATAATAATATTAAATGATAAAATTATTTGATAAGTGAAAAGGATAAAATTGAAATAATTTAAAAAATTGTAGGAGTAGATGAATAATGATAGGGGTAAAAGATAAAATTTTCTAATAACTTAATCAATTCTTTGAGTATGGTTGCTAATAGGGCTGACAATAAACCAAACCAACTCGAAGATAGTTCAGAATTCGACTCGACAATTAAATCGTTGAACTAGGTTCATGAACCAAATGAGTTGAGTATGAGCGGAAAATTAAGTTCGTTAACTAAATGAGCTGAACTTGAACTATACATAGTTCGACTCGTTAGGTTCATGAGTCAACTCGATTACATATGAAAAGAATTATACTGTCTTTAAGATTAGGTTTAAATATTTACTTCAAATCTTAGACAAATTTAATCTTCAATTTAGTAGTTTTTGAATTAGACTCTCAAATGTATCTCTTGAAAGTTGTGTAGGTTTTGAATTAGTAGATTTCGAAGATAAAGTTAAATTTCAATATGATAAATTTTATTTTATTTTAATATTTTATTTAAAATATATATATTTATTTAAAATGTCAAATATACTAAAAAATATATATATTTAAAAAAATAGTTTTTAAGTTCGTGAATCATGTGAGCTGAACCTAATGAGATGAACCTAACGAGTCGAACCGAACTATTCGTGAACTTATAACGAGTCGAGTTTGAGCTTAAAAAAAGTTCGTGTCAAACTCGAACTCGAACTCGAATTCGAACAATTCTTAACGAGTCGAGCCGAGCTGAGGTGAGTTCGACTCGACTCATTTCCAGCCCTAGTTGCTAATGTAAAATTTTCTAATAAAAGTTTTGCTAAGATACACCCACTTATTTTAATGAAGACGTGTTTTAGTAACAAACACCTTAAAATGTATTTAATGAATTTTTAGTTATTAATTGCTAACACACTACTTCTAAAAAATAAATAGGCGTATTATAAAAAATGCATATAAGAGATGCTAACTTACACCCACTTATTTTTCAGAAGGAGAGTTTTAGTAACATGCATCTTAAGGTGCATTTAGCCATGTAATAGTTAAAACTTGCTAAAACACACTTTTATAAAAATAAATGGGTGTATCTTAACAAAACTCACACACACACATATATATATATATATATATATATATATATATATATATATATATATATATATATATATATATATATATATATATATATATATATATATATATATATATATATTGTATAGACTAAACATTCTTGTTATCACTTCTTTGTATGCATGCTTTTAGAGTTAATTATGATAAAAGTTAAATATCTATAACATATATAAATACAAAATTTGATTTTTGGTGTAGTCTAATTTTCTATTCATTTTACCTTTATTTTGAAATGTGTAACTTATACAATAACCTCCATTAAAAAACTACTACCATCTTTCACATAACTTCTTACTAATAAAAAATATCATTTATATATTTTACGTGTGCACATTAAAAAAAACGGACAGACGGACACACACGCTAATATTAAATAATCTAACAATTATATGTATATGAGCTCAACCTTATAATTATGATTATAGTAAAACAACAATTTTAGTAATTAACCACAATCAACCATAAATAATCATGTATTTATCACTAAATTTAATTATTTAATAAAAATAAATATATAAAATAATGAATATTATAGCATATATATATATATATATATATATATATATATATATATATATATATATATATATATATATATATATATATATATATATATATATATATATATATATATATATATATATATATATATATATATATATATATATATATATATATATATATATATATATATATATATATATATATCACGAGGGAGTCTTGTCACGTGTGAAGTCAATTCCCTTGTCACCACCACCGATTGTTCAAAAAAAAAGCGACCCATTTCCATTTTCATTCTCTCTCCGAGTTCATTCAGTTTTCCGTTAAATCATCAAAATCGAGAGAAAGAAACAAAAACCTAACGGGGCGTGACCTGAGATCATACTAAAACACATCAATCACCATGTTACGTAGACTCATCTCTTCACAAATCAAAACCCTAACTTCTTCTTCTTCTCCTCTCCGATCTCCTTCCCCCGCCGTCGCCGTTTCCTTGCTCTCCCGCCACTCCTCCACCCAATCCGGTACTCTCTCGCTCCGCATTTCGTTTTTCGTTAGCTGATTCGTAATTTTGAATATTATTGATTTGTTTCTTCTTGCAGATGACAGTACTGCTGTTAAAAAGAAGGTTGAGGATATAGTGCCGATTGCTACTGGTCATGAACGTGAGGAGCTTCAGGCTCAGATTGAGGTATCCATCTCTCTCTTAATTTGTGTTTGGTTTTACTGTAACGATAATTGATTTTAGTTAAAGGGAGTTTGTGTTCCGTTTCACGTTTAAACTATTCGGAATTGAGTGTGGATATGTAGAATTGATTTTGACATGTTTGGTTGCTTTCGAGTAAAATTGATTATGCTTTTCGTAATTGATTCTATTTGAAGCTAGAATTTATAGCTTTTCGGTCTAAACTGTGATTTTTACACGGAAATTTATTGTTCAACTCAGTTTTGCAAGAGTTTATCTAAACATAAATCACTTTATCTTCAATTCACTTTTAGGTAGAATCAATTTCACATAATCAATTCACTCAAAATCTATTTTCTTCCCCGCATAACCAAACACACTCAAATGCTACTTTGGTTTAGCGTTTGCAATTGAATTCTCGCATCTAGATGTCACTTCAACTCGACTTTTAGGAAGCTAGATAGTTAGGTGTACAGCTGGAATTCCTAACACTGGCTAAGTGCGTGTTTGGTCTTACATAAATAACTTTACACTGAATTCTCGCATCATGATTTTTACACTGAAATTTTTTGTTCAACTCACTTTTGCAGCAATTTATCCAAACATAAATAACTTTACTTTCAACTCACTTTTAACCAGAATCATTTTTACAGAATCAATTCATCAAATATCAATTTTTTTCACCACAGAACTAAACTCAAGCTTATGTAAAATCACGCCTGTTCACCGTAACTCTGGCAAAGTACTAAAGAAAAAGTTCTTGAATCTTGATTGAAGTTTTATTCTTTGTACATAGGCTTAGAAACATAATATATAGTTAGGGCTTTCTGCATTTGAAGGATGATTATGCTTTTGTTTTTCATATGTGTGTTTGTTTTTGTTAGGGTAGGGATATTCTTGAGATCGACCACCCTGAAGGTCCTTTCGGCACCAAGGTTAGTGTTAACTCTGTTATTGCTTATCTTTTCTGCTTGTATCTATTGTAATGTGTAATTTCCTATGAAGCTAAACACTGATTCGACAGGCTAGTAATAATTTGAGAAAATGGAAGTAATTGAATGAAACCAAATGCATCAGTGTCTGACACCGACCCATGTCACACGCCATACACGCCTTCAATCTACAACATTGGTGCTACACAAATAATTTTTGTTCAGTGAGAGGAAAACTTAGAAAATCAGATAGCATTGAGTTTGAACTCTTTTTCTTGTTAAATGTATTTTTGGTTTTATTAATGATGTTCTATACTTTATTATTTTTAAAACAGTGAGATGTGCTACCAAGTACCAACATTCGCTTTGACACTTTCTTTTCAACACTCTTTATGGTATTGGTTTAAATTTATGTGGACCACACATAAATTCATAGAACCCTCACTGAATTTCAGTCAATAGTGAAGAGAGTGTTGGTAGAACTCCTCTTTTTTTTTGGTCGCATATCCTGTTCTGGTTTTGTCCATGTGCCATAATTATTATTTTTATGAACTTGAAAGTAAGGAAAACCTGTAATGTCTTGTTTCCTGTTATAATTCCTCTGGTTTATGTGTTTCTTTCTGTGCACTACCAGAGCAAGCTTGTTGTAACTGCTGCTGGTATTTAAAGTTATCTATCCGAAAATGTTTAGATGTTAGTATGACCAGGCTTTTTATTGTATGAAACTGATGTATGGAAGTCATAAACATGATCATTAAGGCAGAGTGTGGTTCTGCTGCTTTAAGTGTAAATTACATTTTGGAAGCCTCCTCCTTTTAAGCTAGTTATATAAATCATTTAGTTCACTATTAAATCCTTAGTTTTCACATGATTTTAGGCTATATTAACCTATTAAATCATGGTTTCCTTTAATTTTCTTGCAGTATTTTCACTCATTTGGGTTTTGGTTCTTACCATTCAATTATTAGCTTCTATATTTTCACATATTTAAATTTTAGTCCCTAGACTCTATTTTGATAAAGTTTGGTCTCAAATGTCCACTAAAATTTGGTCCCTGTTTTTACATATTGAGGTGTTGGTACTAGGTAATCTTTTCAATCATTTCATCAAGATATTATTGATTTGTTGGTCCCTATTTTCCAATAAGAATTGGTTTCTGTAATTTTTGCATATTGCGGTATTAGTCCCTATTTTCAATTTAGAATTGGTCCTTGTAGCTTTCCCTTTTTTACTTATTAAGATATTGGTTCCTTGGTAACCAAAACCCAAATTAATCACATTTTATTAGCTGTAGTTTTAATGTGTTTGTCAAGATGTTCATACATTTCTATTTTGATCCACTCGTAATTGAATTTCAAAATGTTACATATTTATAAGAGCAACATATCTATTTAAGTTTTATTTAATTTATATGCTTTAGTGAACTAAGTAACAGCTAGGAAGCTTGAAAGCAATGATGCCTATATTTCATCATTTACATTTTGAGGCCAATGGTTCTTTGTAAATTCAGTTATCTATTTTTGAACAACCGTTAACTATTAAGTCACTAACACCTTTACTTGTTTGTATGCTAGTCCTAATGTTTATTGTTCTTTCTCTTCCCCCAAATGGTTCATTCAGATTTACATTTCCGTAATATTAGAAGATAATGGTTCTGAATATGTTTCTTATATCTAATTTAGTTGTTTATTTTGTTTTATAGGAAGCACCGGCTGTTGTGAAATCTTACTACGATAAAAGGATTGTTGGATGCCCAGGTGGTGAAGGCGGTGAGTTCCTGAGTATTCTTTGTTTTTCTTAATGTATTATTGTGTGCTAACTTCTTTTGGAGGTTATAAAAAATGATAGAATTTTGGTTATAGCGATGAGGAGGTGAACAAACTGTTTTGATTGCAGAGGATGAGCATGATGTTGTCTGGTTTTGGCTGGAGAAAGACAAACCTCATGAATGTCCCGTGTGTGCACAGTATTTTGTGGTGAGTTGAAAATCTTTTACTCTTGTTGCATTATTTTCTGGTAAGTTTAGTTTAGATAGGTGTGGAGTTGAATTCCAAGATATGCACCTACATAATTTAAAATTGCCTATTTGTGCTTGCACGTGCACACATAAGTTGTCAAGGACTTATTATTGATTGCAATAATAAGGCTTCTCTTACAAGATGTTTTTAGTTCCTTTAGCTTTAAATGTTTCAAAATCTTAATGTCTTAGTTTTAAATATGATTATATGGTGTTGCATGGTTCTGGTGGTCTTAGCTGTTTGCTGTAGGATAATTCCTACTTATGCAAGAAAGCGAAATTAGTTAGCATGCAAGATAGAGCCTAAATAGTGAGAATGCATAGGTTTGTTTAAAACTGTCGCGCGTGTCCAGTTTTTCATGAATGGATTTTGACAGTTAGAACAAGCTTAAATTAAATTCTGGTAAACTACTTGAAGTGTCTTTGGATGGTCAAATTCACATAATGATGCTAACTATGAATCTCTATATTTGCGGAACAGCTCGAAGTGGTAGGACCTGGTGGATCGCCTTATGGACACGGTGATGATCATCATCATTAATTGCATCCTTCAATTATCCTGGAATAAATTCTGGAAAGATGAAGACATTGTTTTATTTAGCAAACACCGGCCTTTCTAAATCCTGAGGCCAATGTCTGGTTTTGATGTTACTTTCTGTGTTGCAACTTTTGACATAAGAAGTTGTGGTGTTGCAACTTTTGATATTAAAAGTTTCTTTGATTATTTTAAAACAGGAAGTTCATTCTCCTGAACCATTATTCTGTCAAATTATGTTTTGTGCGTCATGAAATAATTGATCTTAACTATTACAGTTTTGCAGATGAAATTATGTTTTGTGCGTCATGAAATAATTGATCTAAACTATTATAGTTTTGCAGATGAAAGGCTACTGATCATGTTTACCACACGGGCATGTTCTTAATTATTCAAGCCATTTATGTGAAAATATTTGAGAATTTTTTATGATACCCTATAAGTTTTTATTGCACCATATGAAATTCAACAAATGCCTCTCGTTTTTGGAGATATATATTCGAATACACCTTTTGCACAGTTAACAAAGACAATTATGAGAAGAGCCTTATATATTGGGTTTAATTTGTTTTGAAGATGCATTTTTGAAACAAAATTATGAGAGGCGCCTTATATATTGGGTTTAATTTGTTTTGGAGATGCATCTTTGAAACAAATATGTAGTTACATTGTTGGAAAAACACTAGAAAGAGATTCTAATAGAAAATGTACTTTCTAAAATGCAATTGACTTTCATAACATAAAATAATAATTACAATGATGATTTAAACAAAAAATTAAATATTACATTTCAATATCTTGGTGGACGCTTGCACATATTCAGAATATCTTCGATCGATCTTTGTAGCGTCGCTTTCAACTCGAATGAAACTTTCTCTTAGAAACCAAAATATGTATTCCACATATCCCTAACATCCGCACGAGTTTTAAGCTCAAATTTGTAGAACACTGTGTTCCCTTTGTTGTCAATCAAAGGTGATCGGTACTTGAGTTTCATAATCATTCGTTTGTTTAAGTACGGAATAAAATAGTGAATTTTGTCTATGATATCTTTGAGAGGTGTGACGTCGGTGAGCTTAAACGTCTTTTCAGGTGTAGAGTCGTCGGAGTAGGAGACATTTGCGACATACCAATGAATGTTTATTTGTGACATATGAGACATTTTGAGTTTGTGTGAAATATAATATAAGAACACCTAAATTTATAGAAGAACTAGCTCAATATAGACCACTCATTAACTGTCATGTTGATTCTGGATATATATCTCCAAAAGCGCACCCTATTATCTTATTCCGAAGATGTATCTCCAAAATTTCTCCTAAACCATTTAAAAAAAGAATCATATAAGAGAATCTTTCAGAGATATATCTTTGGAACTTCTCCTAAAACATTTCCAAAACAAAACCATATAAAAGAACTTTCATAAAGACCAAACATGAACTAAATATGCATAAAGATCAAATATGTATAAAAGGTGAATATGTAACACTTCATTTATATTGAGATACAAATATATACAATTATTTGTCCGGTTAAACAAGAAATCAAAACGAATTGAAATATGTGTCGTCGACTAAATCTATAGGCAATACCTCCTTGGACTTTTGTGCATTCGATTCTTTTTCAATGTTGTTCAATCTCTCAAATTCTTGCATCCTTTCCATAAAATGATCCGGCCACGTCTTGACTTTTGCGATTGAATGAGTTGTCCACTCCGGTGATGTAAGTGGTATAAGGCAATTCGATTTCAAGTAAACTTGAACAAAATGACTTGATTTTGAAATTCATCCATACACATGATACGATCATTTGGGCTTTGGAGTGGTACGATGCGCAGTGGAAAAAAGGTTTTTGAAAATTCGTAGCGTGTCAGGTCAAAGCACACTCTATCATATACACATGCTATTAGGTGACCCATATAGGGAAGCTTATCCATTTTGCCTTCGGTGTCGGGCTGCTCAAGCAAGGAACAAGAAACTCATAAACCACATTGAATTTTTCTTTATTTATGTACAACCGCATGTACGATTATTTATGTGTCTTCAACTCCTTGATAAGTTGATGTCGCACAAGTGCATGACTATCTTCTCCTTTACCGAGTAAAGTCGAAACGGCTCGGTAATCGCAATTATCGTCCCTCACAACATTGACGACCCGCTCGATATATTTGTGCATAAAAACCGACACTCGTCAATGAATGAAATCTTCGGTGGAAGCGGCGTCGGAGGTGGTTTGCTAATGCGGGCTCCTTTTACAATATTTTTTTGACATTTTGGAGTTGGTGAGTTGAGAATTTTTTTTGTCAACGTGCTCAAAATATGAAGGAGAACATGTAGTCGAGTTGTCATTCGGTGTAGGCTTCATTTTCTTCGGAGCACCTTTTGTTTTTACCGTTTGAGAAAGCGGTTTCATGTCGGTAGTTTCGGGATAGGAAATTTTCCTCAATTGTTCTTTGATGTGGAGTTTCATGTTATCATCAGTCTTCGAAAATCTCTCTTGTATCGCTTTCCATTCGGTCAAAATAGAGATATTCAATTTCCCGTCGCCCATGCATACATCATCGTCGAACCTAAGTCTCTTCCACACTTCGCGCTATTGAAGCCTACATTATCAACTCGTTTAGCCTCGTGAAAAATATAGTTCAAACCCTCCCGAGAAATGTTACCAACCAAATGAGAATATAAAGTGTTGTCTTTAAATCTGTGTTCCAAAACCGTGATGCTCCGACCAAATGTTGTTTGTATCTCATTATGCTGGTTTTGAATCTTGTGGTTCACGGAGTACTAGTCTCTACACAAACCCCTTTTACTATTTCCCAACCAATTTTTCAAAGTAGCATGAGCCGATTTAACTCTGTTAGTAGTCGTATTTCTGACGTGTCTAACATTATCAGTCCACGCACAAACTATCTTCTCCTTCACCTGATCAAGAATTGTGGTTTCAACATATTTCAACAAATCTAGATACTTTCACACACTTTTCGGAAATGAATAACGAAATCAACATATAGTTCTTTTGTGGAAGAATTTATTATACGATTTCATGCATCCGTAATTTTTTCCACAATCATACCCGCCTTCACCAATTTTCTACCTTTGGACTCTATTTGTTTCGTCCCTACCGCGGGTTTAACACGACTTCTCACAATCTTTGTCATGTGATGCTTACAAAATAATGCATTAGAAGCAGGAAATTCCTTTGTAACCGAATTCATCAATGCGGTATCACGGTCGGTAATAATCGCTTTAGGCATATCACCCTGGACCTTCAAAAGTGACTGACACAACCCTAATGATCGTCCTCTTTTTCGCACTCAAGAAATGCAAAACCAACAAAATATGTCTTCTCAGTTGAGGTAACACCAACCATCTCAAATAATGGAAGTTTATATTTGTTGGTCTTGTAGGTTGAATCAAGTATAAGCACCGTCGAAAACGTGTAGAACAACTTTATGGAATTAGGATGAGTCTAAAAAATATTTCTAACTGTAACTCCATCATTGCACGTTTGGTATTGGGACACATAACTGTTAACATCCAACAGTTTCAAGAGTTATTGCATCTCAGTTCTATCCCCTATAATCGCCTTATTAGTGAGGTACTAAATGTTATACACTTGTTTTATATTTGATATATTTTCGGGTCGCTTCCGTATCAATGTTGCAAGAATATTTTTTGGTTGAACAAGATTCAAGATCATGTCACTCATACATTCTTTCTCTTCTGGTTTGAGCCGAAAAACATTAGGATGACCGACTAATTTTAAACACAAATCATGGTTATACAAACCACATATCACATTAAATCTCCAATTTTTGTTTGCCAACATGTAACCACGAACCTTAAACGGACACTCACGTTTTCTACTACCCGTGTCGTCTCTTTTAAAATTCTATAGAGGAGTTTGATATCTCCGGCTTCTTTTGCACGTCATTGCCACAAAGGCGCTTCGTCTATCCGAGCCATCATCGGACCTTTGGATAATCACACCAAATCAAAGTTTAGATACCTCCATGCGAATCCATTCAAGCATTTTATCACGAGATTCAAACTGTTGCTTGTTATTGAAGTTGTTGCCAACATCTACCCCCTTCGCAACAACCCCTTGAACATTCGGAGAAACAACATTTGGAGAAATAATTTGTTTTGGAAAACATCGGGGTGAACCATATCTATTTAAAACAATTAAAATAATAATAGAACATTAGTTCATCTACTCCTGTAGAAGGGTTGAAAAAATGAACACAAACACTTTCCGAAAATGTATCTCCGGACAAGTTCATACATGTTTCGGACACAACGTAAGTTTTTTTCAGCAAGAATGGATGATTAATGTGAGCAATACAGAGGTAAAAGAAGAATATTTAACTGAAATTCAATCTTGTTTTTCTCCCTGTGATATGATGAAATAAAAGGATGAAGATTTGGAGTGAAAAAATGAATTGAGAATGAAGGGATTTTTGGGTGAGGGTTTAGGTGATAATGAAGTATGACAACAATGAAATACTGATCATGCAACTGGAAGCTATATCATATATGCTCGGAGATGCATCTCTAGAAACACCTAACATACAAAGGTGACAATAAATTTCAAAATGCCGCCCATAATCCTGGAGATTCATCTCCGGAATATCCACTGAATTGAACTACAAAAATGTTTTTCTTAAAATATTATGGAGTTATATCGGAAAAAAAAAACTAATCAATGTATGAGGCATATCTCAGAATGGCCTTGGTTGCGTATATAAAAGGTGTGTCTGGAGATATACCTCTGAAATCGGGGGCATATTTGTAAATTCACACGGTGCGCTAGAAGTATATATGATGCAATAAGAAATTCTCAAATATCTTTGTACTAATATTTAGCAATGTTTTTTTATTATAGTAAACTAATAAAACCTTATAAGTTTCTGGTAGATTATCAAGTGGTCCATGATGGGAAATTAAGACAGAATAACAAACCAATATGCAATGGATATAAAATTCCCCAGACTTGTAGGAACCTTG